TGTTGACGATATAATAAAGGACCATTTCCTTCATTCGTCTAACTGTAGACGTCTAAATGTGACAGGATTACAACAGGACACGGAAATTAGATTTTGAAAGTGTGTCAAACATGTCTGAGGAAGGAAAAAGACATCAGAACACGCCAACCTCAAAGTAATTTCTAAAAGGATAGAAATCCAGACAATTACCAAAATGACTCCCTGTCAAAAGTAAAGAGGTGGAAGACGCATCAATCCAAAAACAGATCCTCCCACAGCAGAGGTCAAAGCACAATCACAGTCCAGTGAGAGTAAATATATCTGACAGGAAACAATCAGAACCATTTCTGTTATGTCTACAAGTCCAGATGGAAAGGTCACTGCTAATGTCAAACGCTGCATGTCACAAATCAAATGTGAACGTCAAGTGTCACTATGGGGCGTTAAACATACGAAAAGACAAAGTGAGAAATATCTCATGGTATCTGTGTAAGACACACTTGGTTAATATCAAACTGCTCAACCCCTCTGAGAGAGCTGCGCAGAGAAGGAAAGAGAAAGAAAGAGAGTGAGAGTTGAACCGAATGACTGATATTTAAGCTGACCACCACCTGCTCAAAAAAAAGAAAAAAGAAAAGGTGGCACAGCAAAAGAGGGAAATGTGAGGCAAAAGAATGCTAAAAAGTCCATCTCAAAAAAACCTAAGCTATTTTTTGGTCTTATATGGCAAGACCAAAGCAAAACAAAAAACAAACAAAACACTCATTAAAGAGTGTTAAGATCCTCATGCAAGATACTTCATAAAAAAGTGTGTTCTGTATGTGTTTTATGGCCTTATTTCAGTGACTTTAAAATTGTAGTTTTTCACTAAGCACGCATAAACGTTGTTTTCTCAAAAACACAATCACGTACATACACGCTGCTCGCATATTATTGTAGCCCAGTTTGTGCTGATTACGGTGTTATTAAACTTTAGACATTCAAAGGTTTGTAAGCAACTGAAAAAAGCACAAATGTCAGGGCATGTCAAAACTTTTCCAGGACCCAAAACGCCCTCGGACCCCAGAGGGTTAATGATTAAATGTAAATGTGTTCTATTTAGAGAACACTTCTTAGTTATTTACTAAAAATCTAACTAACTCAAACAAGTCCAAAAAGCCATCCTTTCAATGATCTAACTCACTAAATAACCAAACCAAGTCAATCAAGATGCAATGTCATGCTTCTTGAAGAACTACCTCACTAACCAAAATAACTAAATCAACACCAAAAGCCCAACAAAGTTACAAAGTTTATTCTCTTCAGAAACTAACACACTAAATAACCAGACCAACTCAATTATGGCCCATCGTCACGCTTCTCGATGAACTATTATGCAAACTAACTACATCAACACCAAAAGCCCATCCTTTAGATGAACTAGCCTAACTTACTAACTGACCAAACTAACTCACTAATTAATTCTTAATCTAATAACTCAATCAAATCCACACGGCCCATCGTTTTGATTAACCAAAGCGGTAGCTAACCAAACAAACTCAATAAAGACCCAAAGTTCATCAATTAAGTGCTTCATTGATCCTGACATTATGTGGACCAGCTGGTATGTAGCAGGGTAAACCAGCTGAGTATCCTGTGCACTATAGCCAACAGTTGGGTGGATGCCTGCTGTATTAATCACATGAAGGTGAATGCGGTATGCCATCAGAGGGATAAGCTGATGTCTGTAGATGAAGCAAGGAGCGTATCTCTCAGCTGTCAGGCTGTATGCTGCTAACAGATGGAGCCCAGATGATACATCCACTTTACAAGCCCTAACACACTTAACTGCACCGATCCTCCCGCACGACCTGGAGAGGTAGCTGATCAGTGAGCCTCTCCTGACAGCAGTAGAAGACACTGACAGCAAGTCATATGTCCTGTATATAGACAGACTTGCGGTTGCAACCTGTAGAGTTTACAATACACAGGTTTATGTGGTGTATTCTGGGAAGTGCAGTCTAATTATGTACACATCTGTAGCCTTTTGAAGTGCAATGTGGTTTATTAATGAAAGTTTTAATTATATAGATTAGTATTCTGACGCTTTTGTTTCAGCCGAATGGATTTTTATGGCGCTGTTTGGATTTTTCTGAGCTGGAGGGTGTCTGGTTGTGTTCAAAGGCACTCTCTGCATGCTCAGTTCCTGCGGTTTCCAGTTTTAGGGACGAGACAACACTGTCAGACTGAATTTGTCCTAACAATGCCTGATGAGAGAGGATAGAGGTGCAAACAGGGATTTGATGAAGCAGTCGTCAGCCACAAAACAACCACTAAGAAGCCAAGAGACTCCTCAGTGATATCTTAATGTTAATACTAAATGACATTACAAACTGTATATTAAATTGGCCAATTTTCCAATATGTCACCTCTGATGATCTTTGAGAGTTGTATATACAAAGTAATTTGTGTACATGCCTCGGGGACATCTTCAAATGTTGCAATCCCTGGATCTGCTAATCAAGGCAGGCTTATGGGATATGCTCGTGTCCAGGGGAACTCCCATTCTGATGCATAACCTCCAGAAATAGCCGTCTCTCACTGACTAGGCCACAAATGGCAGCGAGGTCTCATTTGGTGGACCGACATGTTTAGAATTCCAGACTAATCAGAATACCAGCCTTGGGATCATAGTCATTCCTTTTGGGAAAAATGGGTCCTAGCTTTTTAGCTTCTGGTGCAGTTGAGGTTCAAATGACAAACGTTTCCATAAGGGTCAGTGAATGAACAGACAGCCTGTGGGCGGCGATTTATCTGCCTCTCTTCATGCCAGTTTAATTAAGCCCCGAGAGACCAATCAGATCAATGAGAGAGAGTTTATTACGCATGTAATTTAGCAACCATCTTCATTGCCTGGGAAAGCACCCAACAATACACTCATTTAACTGAAGCTGAGTCACTTTTAACAGGTGCTTTTAATGGACGTGAGCAAGCGTTTTTTTGCTAATGCCAAAGTTGTAAATTTTTATTGTTTCGCAGTGGAAAATGGATTGAGGACTATCTAATCCCAATCGATAAGGAATTTCCTTTCTGAAGGATAGTTATAATTGATTATTTCTCAGTGGCAGATTGCCAACTCCTTGAGCAATGAGGCTTGACGTGATTTACTGTTTAATATTAACTGCCACACAGTAAAAAATACAGGAAAAGGGGCAATAGATTAGCTTGCTGACTTAATCCTGAACACATTAACCAAGCTGTGGCTAGGATATTTCTTATCCTTTTATTTAACACACATAAATGACAACTGACAGCTGTTTTTGTCCATTCAGATGTAAGTCAATTGAGTCAAAAAGATTGAAGCTCCAAAAAGGATATTTATGTATCGTAAAAGTAATGCATACAGTTCCAGTGGTTTGATCCATGTCTTCTGATAACTTTGTATACTGTACATGCCTCCCACCAACGATGCTACTGGTGTGCCGCCATACTGATTTTCACTGCATGGACAAAGAGGTGGAGCTGGTTAAAAGACTAGTTCCAAACCACTATGATTGTTTAATTCTGTGGAAGAAGCAACAAAATATTTGAGAATTGTTTCAGCTGTTTTTGTCCATTCAGATGTAAGTCAATTGAGTCAAAAAGATTGAAGCTCCAAAAAGGATATTTATGTATCGTAAAAGTAATGCATACAGTTCCAGTGGTTTGATCCATGTCTTCTGATAACTTTGTATTACTGTACATGCCTCCCACCAACGATGCTACTGGTGTGCCGCCATACTGATTTTCACTGCATGGACAAAGACAACATTTTCATTCTTGGCTGAACTATTTCTTATAATCTATTTAAGAACCCTGAACACCAGCATCCCATCTATCAACAAAACATGCTTTTGTTGCACAATAACCTGTTCCTATCAATCAAATACTGACAAATATCTTAGCAATCACAGAGGAGTCTCCTGCCAATCTGCAACAATGTGCTGATGTTATGGACGTGAAGCTTGGCTGCGATACAGTGTGTGTATGTCCTAAATATTCCTCCATAACCTCAACTTCCCGTAAACAGCTTCTCATAAACACACACTTCCTCAGTGTAAAAGCTCTACATACGTGTGCACACTCATGCTGGCAGCAGGTGCAAGATCAATGGGCACTGAATGGAACAATGAAACCTCCTACGCCTCCCCCAAAACACACACACACACACACACACACACACCATCTCACCGTTAGCCTTGAACTTAAGCTTTTACTGGGGTCTTTGTGCTCTTCCAATCTGACAAGCATACCTACATGTGAGTTGTTAGGAGAAGCCCACAGCAACTAACCAAGGATTTTCTGCTGTACTCATTGACATGCAGAGAGTTATAGCCCAGGACTCGGCCGGGCCATTCTACTGCAGAAAAGACTTGTGGGGCCACTAAAGCCTTTACTCTAGTACAGCTTAGCAAGAGTTTAATCACTGCAATGCGCTACAGTAGAAACACAACATAAGCATATACGATCTTACCTACACAGATAACAGCAAATAATCTTTATTTTGCAGAACCATCAGCAAAAGCATCTTGATTTGGCAGACCAAAAGGAACAAAATATGTTTTCTTGATTTTCTGACAGGTGCATTTTTATGAGACTGGTTTATCTTAGTGACACAGTGACATGTGCTGTTTACAGGAAGTATGCTATAAAAATAGCTATATAATACTGTTGTGACATAAATAAAACATACTGAAAAAGTACAACTGGACACTTCACTATCCTTCACTATCAGCTTCAGTTAATTTAATTATTTTCATTTACTATATATGTAGACACAATTTTATGTTTACAGTATTTTCGCCTTTTGATCAAAACATCTGTAAGAATGATTTATAGCTGGTAAATGTTTACAAAACAAAAGGCCTGGCAGATGTGGTATAAAGTTAATATGTCAGGAAAAAAAAATATAAAGAAAAATAAAGAAAAGAAACAACAATGCAGAGAACAGACACCATGCTGTTAATGTATTACATGCATTATGACAAAAAAAAGAAACTTACCATTTGAGAGTGACTCTTGGGGCAGCTGTTAATATCTTCTACCTTTTCATTAGCTGCAACAGAGATATTGCTGGGTTAAACCTCTGCAGCACGCTGTACAAAACACAGAAGTGCACCACAATATCGTGGCCTTTCCATCCACGGGTTACCGTCATGAGGTAAGAAAGTTTGCCTTTGCAGTTTTCGAGAGTTTGTGATTGAATGAGTGTGTGTATGTTTGCAGTGTGGGAGAAAACGCTGAGAAAATGAATGGCTGTTAATTCATCAGCTGTTGGTTTCGAGTTTGTGACATAAGATCTGCCATTGTATGCTGGAGGTTCATAATAAAGTTTCAGGACGGCCCAGAGGAGGGGAAAAGGGGATGGGGGAAAGAAAGAAGGAAAAATAAAAAAGACAGACTGACACACATGCACACAACGCAAACCACTCTGGGCTCACTAAAGTGAACATATGGGAGACATATGCTTAAATAGTGCAGAGATTGCGTTCAATTTTCATGTTGCTGATTTCCTATGGCTTCTAATCCAGTTTAACGTGAGCAAAATAACTTAAAGCTGAATCACAGTAAGTAGTTATGTTTTACACAAATAAATTTACCACTGAAATAAGCTGTAAAGATTTATTAGCCTGCGCTGTGTGTGTATGTACATTTGCCTGTACCCTTACCTATTATCTGGATGATTTCTGCCAGCAGAACTCCATCGGGTATGTCCTGAGTCAGGTCCTTAATAAGCCTCGGACAACCGGACTTGGCCAAATAATGGTTTGCCCAATCAGTGTAGATCTATAGGGAATATGAGGGAAAAAATCTGATAAAGAACATAGCCTCTAGACAGACAATACTGATTAATGAAGAATTATGTCAAAGAGGACCTAAGCAGGTAAAAGGCGTCTGTGGTTTGATTGACAGAAAATCAGAACCAGAACCACTTAGGAAAACAAAAACCTAGCCATCAAAGCACCCAGCTTAAGTATGAGGTCAATTTAATCAAAACTATCAATAAGGCCTCAGCATTTATAATAGATTACCTAGATTATTTTACAGGATAGAATCCAGCCCTTACATGACATTTTGACACAGCTAATCCATTTAATCAGAGGTGGATTACAAGGATAGTACCTACTTACAACAAATTAACTTTTCAAAAGGCTAATTCCTCTCTAAATGATGGTGTCATTGCATATTGAGCTTTTAAACCATTATTAAAGTCCTGGTGCAGCTACAGTAAGTTTTTACAAAACTGTTTCAGAGCAGCAGAAGTGTAACTGCAAAAACATTGAAACAGTATACAAGGAACACTAAATTAAGTAAGTCCTTATTTATTGCTTAATATACCAGGTTTTTACGAACAAATGCAACCCCCTGGTGTCTCAGTAATATGTCCTTGGATAGGTGTTCCTCAGGGGTCTGTTCTAGGGCCCCTTAAAAACTCATGTCACAAATCTTAGAGCTCTGCTCTTTCATTGTAATTTTAGGATTAGATCACATTTCACATGAAGCAAGCGGTTTTCCATTTCCCACTTAAGTGAGTGCACCCCAGTGGCAAGGGACACTCTCAGAGCTCACATCCTCTCACTAATAGAATTGCCTGTATGGGGCTTTTGTCTGTAACATTTCAAATCAGTATGTGCATTATACAAAGACTATAAATTTTTCAGCTCATATTTTACTTTTTATTTGTGTTTTCAGAGTACTGTATCATCAAATTTTGATCCTAACAGAAAAGGGTCAACCATCCTAATGTTGCTATAGCCTCCAATACTTTTGTTCTGGCTTCTTTTATGCAGTTTCAGCCTTAATTAGGATCAACAGACCTCTCCAAACCCTCATAATCTGCACCCTGCTTAATGTTAAAGTTATGAATGACGTGCTAAAATGTATTTAAAGTGGTCAAATTTACACCCACAAACCCAGTAAAATATCAAAGGAATTTTCATTTAAGTAGCTATAGTTTCATTTGAGACCATATTATAATGCCTCATAAAATTAAAAAAGATCAGCCATGCTCTCTCGCCACCTCAAACACAGTGCCCAATTAAGAACATTTATGCCTTCGCCAGGCAAAAGGAAGCATTCCACTCAAAGATGCCACAGTTCAAAGGTTTTGTCTGTTGTGGTTTCAGCATATGATGAGGAGTTGTTAACAAGAACAGGGTGATGAAGAGATCTTTAGTCATCCTCCCACTTAAACACAACACAATACAAAAGAGATAAATAAAGGCCTCTGCTCACCACTCCAAATCACAGTCACCTCTGGGAATTGAGTAAACAAACAGTTACACTACCACACATGCCAATACCTCCAGTCACTGCAGAGAAAACAGCAAAGAATTTACACATTTCAGCAGCATCTAGAAAACCAGGTGAATTCTGCTCTGGTTTGGCTATGATATTGATGTATGATAATGATATTGATGTTTTGGTTAATCCTGTGGCCCAGTATGTAGAAGGAATTTGTATTTCTGTGGCTTAACCTGAGTGAGTTGGTGAGGTAAACTGATGCAGCGGTTGAAAGGTCAGAAAAGGAAGTGGAGTATAAGACAGCGATTCTCTGCAGCACAACCCTGTTCTTTTTCCTGCCTGACGGAGGGCTGAGAGAATTAGGGGTGCCGCAGTGCCACAGTTGTTCATGTGCTCGACGGGCAGAAAATGTCCATCTGGACCTTTGAAAGGAAGGAAAGAGAAATCACTCTGTCTTCCTCGTATTGCCTCCAGCGCCCGGAGATCAACAAAGAAAGCAAGTGAGACATGGGAAAAGAAAGCAAGACGAGAGAACGAAATGACAGAGAGAGAGAGAGAGAGAGAGAGAGAGAGAGAGAGAGAGAGAGAGAGAGAGAGAGAGAGAGAGAGAGAGAGAGAGAGAGAGAGAGAGAGAGAGAGAGCAAAGAAAAAAAGA